CTGAGGCAGAAAGACAGGTGAAGCCCAGGGCGGTGGTAACCAGAGCTTTCAAAAGATGAGCACGCAGGTAGACAACGCTTGTCTTCACAGCAGGCAAGGTGAAGGCGAGTGGACAGGGAAATCACCGGGACAAAACTCAAACGTCTACAGGAGCCAAGCAGGTAAGGTAAATGAGTGAAGCCAGCCGGGTGTACAAAAAAGCAAAATATAAAGTTACAGAGCAGCATGTGGGCCAGCACCAAACAAGCCCAGATGCAGGGACCCCTGCAGGCTCTTGGTTTGCAACTGCTTCTCTAAAGCACGGCACGGAGAAGACCAGTGGAAGCAGGCTGTCAGTCACTGGCCAGCAAGTTGGGGAAGGCAGGCTGAGTCCTCGCTGTCACTGCCCAAGCAGCCAGTGTGGTACCTGGGATGCAGCAGGTGTTAGAGTACGATTTGCTTATGAAAGAAATTATGTCAAGGGTAATCACACCTCAGCACTTTTTATCCTTGATACGCTTCTACTCTCTCTTCCAAGGGTGTCTAAACCCTACAAATATTTACTTCCTGTCACCTTGATCCAGTGAGTCATCAATTTCACACCTTGTCAAGAATCATGACATGGTCTATCAATTTTAATTCCCGAGTTCTTGTGTAACTTCTAAACCCCTCAGTAGCGGTCCCAGCCTCCCTGGCCTGTAAGTGGCCTCTCGTGGTAAAAGAGGGTAACTGCACAACCAAGTACCTTTTAAATCCAAACAATTCAATTCCTATTAATTCAATCCATAGTTACAAAGTATAGCAGAAGAGAAAATGAGAGTAGAGGACGTTTGAAATAGGTCTGGAATTTAAAAAAGAAATATCTTGACATGGAAATCAGTATGGAAAAGAGGCTTACATTAGGGCAGAGGAGGTACAATTTTCTAATTTCCTTTTTATAACTTCCCAGGATTGCTGAAAAAATTTTCCATCATAAATTAGGTGTTAGACTCTGAAGATCTGGTATCAAATCTCAGATCTGGTTTGCATAAGATGTATGAATTTAAGGCATGTTATTTAATGTCCCTGAGACTCAGTCTCTGTATCTAAACAATAATATGTGTCCCACTGACTTGGTTGTTATGAGATCCAAACTATATGCATGTCCAGTGTTTTCTGCATTGGACCTTATAATCTTTGGTTCACGATACACTCTCATCAGTAGCCTTCACATGGCCTGCTTTTATTTACTTGGCCACTTAGTTATTTTAAAATAATGTCATAAACTGTACTTGCAACCATAGATTTCTCAGGCACTGAGAAATAAAAACAATAAACTCTGAGACAAATTAGGTAGTTTCTATCCACCAGCCATCTTTCCATAGTATTAAAAGGGCCAGATTGATTTATTTTCCCTCCCTTCCTTTTAAATGCTCTCTGAAATTTTCCTCCTCTTTCTCAACTTGGGCCATTCATTTGTTTTATTTTACCTCTTTTGTACTCAGTTTGTTCCCATATTGTTTTATAAGTGCCCTTTAATTAATTCACAACTGTAGGTTCTTATTGGTAATGATTCAAAGGGAACTCATGTGCATGGTAGAGAGTTGGATCAGATGATCTTTTAGTCATCTATTCTGCAAATATTTAATGAGCTATTACATGTATGGCATTGTGTTGACACTAAAGATATAAAGTGAATAAGGCAGACAAGATCCTTGCCCTTGTGGATCTTATACTGAGGAGTTTACAACACAAGTTATCAAATATATACTATGAGTTCTGAGAAAGGCTGTAAAGGGAGCAAACAAGGTAGAAGACACAGGAGATGGGAGAGTGGGCATAAAGTTACCTGGGGGTAGAGCATTGTAGACAGAGTGAATGGCAAGTTCAAAGGTCCTGAGGTAGGAGTGAGGAGGAGCATTATACTGTCCCTCCATGTACAAGTAATTTATTGGACATCTCACAGATATGTAGATATACTCTATGTATGTATATGTATGTATAAAATACATTAATATAGGTATTATATATGTACATATGTATAAATATATAATACATATATTTGTATTTTAAAACCTTATCAGAAGTAATGTTTAACCTTATTTATGACAAAAAATACTGTTGACATATTTTCCATTCAGATAATGTTCATTAAACACTTTATGAAAAGAAAAATGTTTGAAAAAATAATTCAATGGATATCTTGGATCTCTAGCCAGCTATTAAGTCTTGGTGATGGATTTCAAGGGATGAGGTCACAGTTGCTCATATTGTTGTCACACACTGTAGCTCATGGCAGATTGTGGGCTTTTAAACTTAACATTAATATTTTTAAATAATATAATCTGTTTAATTATTTCACTTTGGATTATCGAGTTTCAGAATAAATCTTTTGTTTTCTGTTTTTTTTTCCCCTGCAACTGTTAAACTATTTTGTTATAAAAGGGTATGCATGATCTTTTCCTTCCTGGAATGAAAACCTTAATACTTGGTATTATGAGGTTCTGAAAGCAGGGAAAAACATTTTGAAAGGTTCCATGAAATCTTCATTAGTGTGAAATCTGTGTACCATGAAATGGCAAATCTGAAACATTCGTTTTTCCTTTTAATTTTTGCTGTTCAGACAAATGTAGGTTTTTTCTTTCTCTACTTCCCTTTATTCTGTAATTAATGTTTACTCTGTGTCAGGCATGGTGTTTGTGGTTAACGCAGAGGGCTACGGAAGCAAATGGTAGGGGAAAAAGTGATTTGTGTTAAGAGGCTGAAATGGAATTGTTCAGAGAGTTTTTAAGGAATATCACATAGTTTACTCTTGATAATAAGCTGAGGGTGGGGGTTCCTGCAGAAAAGTGGGAGAAAATGTCTAGAAAATTTGAGAAAAAATATCATGGAAAGCTTTGAACACTGCAGCAGAAAAGATTGTTTACAAATTTTTCAATCGTCATGAAGGTTTTAAGGAGAAAAGTGAAGTAAAGTAATACAATTGGTGTTTGCCTTCCAGATGATCTTTGTAAGTTGGGTGTTATTATGTTTAGGTATGCCTAGATATGCTGCCTCCTAACTTGATTCACTGTGTTTTCTCTTCAAATCTTAGAAAAAGTATACCACAGAACAAACGGAAAGTAACCAACTAATGGCTAATTCTTTATGCATAAAATGAAGATGTCCTGAATGAAAATCAATTACATTGAGTTCAAATACATGCTACATTCAACTCTGAGTAATTTACCCTCCTAATTGTCCCATGGATAATCCAAGATGGGAAGACAAATTTATAATAAAATTTGTTCATTTCTCTGAATTGAGATATCGATGTATCCAAAGAGACATTTAAAATCCATGTCACTTCTACATTCAAAACAGATACGCCTTCCAGCATTGCAGGGCTAGACCTCTGTAACTCACTGTTAAAATGAGTACCGTTTATGCCATTTCAGATAAAACTTTACTGTAAAACACTGGGATCCATTCATTCATCTATTGGAAGGTACCTTGACAAGTTTTACTTAGTTTTAAAATCAGAGCTCAAAGGTAAATTCATTTTATAGTTCAGAGCTTATAAAAATGTAAACTCTAGAAAGATTGATATTTTGAGTTAATCACTTTCTTCCCTCACCTTTCCCAGAAAAAATGGTATCATAACTTGAATATTTTTTTAAAAAATGAGGTGTAACTTACATACTGTATCATACATGCACAAATGTTAACTGAGGGCCTGATGAATAAGTGTGCATGCATGCGTGTGGGTATGCACACACCTTGTGTCTGTCTATAAGATGGGACATTTCCATCACCCTATAAAATTCCTTTTTGCCTCTTCCCAGTCAGTATCCCCAGAGATAACTGCTATTCTGAGTTCTATTATCACAGATTAGATTTCCCTCTTCTTGAATTTCACAAAAATGAAATCATACAGCATATATTCTTTTGTGTCCGGCTTCTTTGGCTCAACATAATGTTTTCAAAATTTACCCATGTTGTATATATCAGTAATTCAGAAATTTTTATTGAGTAGGACTCCATCATATGAACAACTTGTTCATCTCTTCCTTATTGATGGAAATTTGGATCATTTCCAGTGTGGACACCTTTGGACAGATCTTCATAGGGTTTAAGACTGGGACGAAGAGGCCTAAGAAGTGAACTGAGAATTCTAAGTTATGAGCAAAGCTTTTTTTTTCTTTTTTACAGAATGTTCTGGGATCTTCACATTACAAGTTCCTGGCAGAAATAGAATATATCTTTCTCACACCCTATAAAGTGCCTAAATCAGAATTATTAAGCACCCAATTAAATATATTTGGTTCAGCATGGTGCTAATGAATATAAAAGTGTGAACTGAATCCTGTATGAGTTCTTCTGGTGAAAAGACCTCTGTTCCCATGTCTCAGAAAACCACCAGGGGCCCTCTGAGCCGGCTCACAAGGCGTGCAATCCGGCGTGATGTTAGTAGAAAGGGTCCATGCAGATCACCCAGAAAAACTCATCCCAACTAGAAATGTAACCCAAAGTGTATTGTGGGCAATTTGTGTGAATCTTAAAGTCATTTGAAAAGCAACTCATTCAAACACCTATGTACAATGTTAATAAAATGCTAAGGAAATATTAATGGTGGTGAACGTATGTTGATTCCTCTCTATTACATATCTTACCATTAATCTTCACAACTCTGCCAAGTGAGTGTCGTTATTCCCACATTTCAGGTGAAGAAACAAACACAGGGCATTAAGTAAATTAAGATCATGTGGTTAGTATCTAGCAGAGCCAGAACTTGACCCCAGGGTGTCACTTTCTGAAGCCCATTCATCCTCTTTACACTGAGACATCTTTATAGAATTAATAAGCCCCACAAATTCCATACTTGAAGAAGTTAGATATAGGTGTACGTGGCTCACTTGTGATCTATCCATGGTTTTTGATGAGAAGGAATCTAAACTTCTAATATTTCCATGCCCAAGGAATCGGCACAGACACAGACCCCAAAGCTTCCATCAGTGCCCAGCATGTGCAGGGAACTTGAATATTATACAGTGAAGACTCACCTGATGTGCTGATAAGAACAGTGCTTCATTGCTGCACCAGTCAAAATATTTCATCATTTCTAATTTTTTCTCCCTTAAAAATAAAATTATTTTGATTGTGAGATTTTACTGCTGCCTCTCAAATAAGGCACATCCTTTTTAAAATAGCAAAGAATGGCAGCTATTTTTAGGTTTAAAAAAACCACACATGGTGATATCTCAGACTCAAAGGTAAATCTTTCTATGAGAGCTTTGTCTGTTCATTTTGATTCAGGAGAAAGGATGCCTGTGGAAACCAGCTCTCTTCACAAGACAAGTTTCTTAAGGCGTTAACAGATGGTAAGAGGGAGAATGAGCTAAGAGAGCAGAACTACTGATGACTCTGATCTCTTGCACACATCTGAGAGGATAACATCCCCATAATTTAAGTATTCAAAACTAAGTGAGGCACCACTGCCAAGAACATTTCAACATCACAAACTCATTTTGCTCGGAGAGAGTCCAGGCTTCTTTCAAACAGTAGTGGATGATTTAACCATGGAAACAAGTCTTAATATTTGCACAACTATTTTCCAGGGTGTGGGAGGAAATGAGCTATACTACTGGCTGGGCTGTTATACCCAGATTTTAAACATCCCTTGGGCTGCATGTAGTGGGAATAAAAGGAATGGTAACAACCTGGTGATCAGCGGGCACTGGATATCATATACTCTTCATCCTCCCTTAGACTCTGTGTGGCTATGGGACGTGTAGGGGCTGGGACTACCCAAAAGGTCATTTATCCTTTTCATAAGCATCTCTTCTGAGTTATATAAAATCTTCATAAGTATACACTTACTAAAGTATTATATCATATAATTGTGCAGTAATTTGTTTGCTTACTTGGCAGCATTTTGAGAATGGATCATCTCACTATATACAAGAGCACAGAGAGAGAGGCATCTCTTCTACATATTGGCCTATTTGGGAGTATAATTGGTTCAACCATTGAGCAAGCATTTTGGCAATATATATCAAAATGTATCAACTTAACAAGGTCACATCAGAATCTTTGTTGCCTTTTTATAATCAAATTTTTTTAGAAATAAACCTTAAGTAACCTACCAGAGTAGAATGTTAGAGATGAGAAGGGATACTTCATGGTTGTTTTGACATTTCTGTGATTACTAGTGAGTTGAATGGTTTTTAAAATGCATACTGGCCATCTGGATTTTTTCCTTAGGGGATTGTTCATGTCCTCTGCTCACTTATCTATTGTGGCCTTACTGTTATTCACAAAAATTATGTGAGCTATTTAGGTAATGAGGATACTATCCATTTAACTGTCAAATTTTATAACCCAGGTGACTATTTTAATCTTATTCTAAAGAAGGAACCTAAAACAAGGGAGCAGTTCAGTGGCAAAAAGAAAGAAAAAAACCACCCAACTTTCACATTTATAGCTCAACATGAATTGCTACTTGAGCCTAAATCAGAAAAAGTTAGATAATTCTCCAACTAGGGGCCTCACATGCAGTCAATGAAGTCTTTCCCATGAACCCTTAAAGCCCAGCAATTACACAAACATAATCCAGATGAATCTATCCCTATCACATTGCCATATCCCTCTGCTTTGTATCAGTGGAGAATACTGAATTGGTTCAAATATAACTGGATGTGCAACAAAACCAGGTTTCCTTTGGTTAGTAAGAACACGCAAAAGCATTTTACATCTTTGTTCAGTCCATACAGTAAAGCTTGAAACCCTAAGAGGAGAAATGGGGCACCAGATGCTGGATGCAGACACCAAGACCAGAACTTTGCCGACACAGCTGGACTGGACATCCTCTCCAATTTGACACAAATGCAGCCAACCAAGACAGCCTCTATGGTAAGAACTCTGATGCCCAGGGGGAGTCTGTGACCAAGTACTGCTGTCACTTATTACTCTTTGCAAAGGGACCAATTGTTATCACCTTTAGAAAAATCCGAACCTGAGTATTACTTACTCCTTAGAGGTATGGGTGATGCTCACTCTCAATAGCTGCTTTAGCTATTCAATTATACTGTGAAATTAACTGTGATGGGTTGTTTCATTCCTTTTTTGTCAACCAAAAACACCCATGAGATGCATAATTTAGTGATCGAAGCCTTGATTTAAGAAAGTAAAGAAAGATTTTAGGAGACAGACTGATATCCAGTGTGCAAAAGCAGAGCGGAAAAGGAAATTAGCAAACATTCAGCTAAAATGTTCTCTGGGGCAGGGATTCATGGTAATAAATGGAACCGTTTCAAGCTTGAAGGAAAGTACCTGGGGGAGACAGCACAGATCGCTGCAGGGATCACTGCCTTTCATCAGCCTAAAAATGGAGCTGCCTGTAGAATTTTCAGGTCAGCAAAAGATCCAGAAGAGACACTAAAATCTAACTGAACAAGAGGCTAGCATAAATCATTTATAAAGAGTTAAGAATGCTATAGATTAACAAATTAGGACAATACACACCAAATCTAGAATATTATAACCACGATACTGATGTTATTGGTAAACCTGCCAAAAGCATATGAGACAATTAGATGTCTAAGTGAAGTCCTACAGTGCTCCTGGTAAGTCCTGTGCTTGCTAACTCACCACAGTAAGCTATGTGCAAGTCTTTACAGGGTCATACAGTTCTTTCAGCCACAACAAAGCATAGGTACTTATTGAATGTATTCAACACATAAAGTAGTAACTGTATCCAGGAAGAAAATTCTTTGACCCATTCTTCAACATCTTCAGATCAAGACTTCATACAACTTCTAGGGGTGAACTTCTGAGGACCAGGAACAATGAATAACCCCAAAGTCATCACAGAATCCTCCAACCTAATTTAAGATAAGCCTCTTCCTCTCCTGCCCCTGCTTCCTGATGCCCTGTCACCCCATATCAGAAGTGTTCATAAGTCCAAAGACGACTGATTATGGGAGAGTCTTAGCCACTGGTAACACCTTTCCCTTCTTTGAATACAGCTGTCTGTGAGTTGTCAAAAGATTAGCAAATGGGCAACAGGATAGGAAGGCAGTGGCAGATGTTTGGCCTGGGTGATTTCAGAACAGTGCAATAACTAGAAGTTTCAAACCAGGGAGTATAGGCTGCAGAGTATTTTAGTTTCATTTTATTGGTTTTGCCTTAAGAAGGCACATTGTCTCCTGTTTGTCACAAGCCTCAGTGCTCCCAGTTGTCTTATACTTTGTCTGGCTTACTCTTTATCTATACTTCTTTAGTGGCCTAATACATATACAATTTGGTAAATGATGTTTGTAGAGCTTGGAATGTATATGGCCTAACTATTGGGGCAGGGGTCTTTATATAGTCCAAATCAAGTTCATTAATAGTGTTGTTCAACTCTTCTACATCTTTGGTCATTTTCTATCTACTTAAGGAATTATTTTCTAAGGGATGTGCGTTAAAAATCTCCCACTTAATTATGAATTTGTCTATTTCTCCTTGTCATTATATCAAATTTTGCTTTATGTACTTTGAGGGTTCAGGCTAGGGATTTTTATCTTCCTTATGAATTATTCCTAAAGAATGTTTTTGCCTTTATGTTTTTGCACGATACTGATGGAATTATGTCAACTCTCATTAAAAAGTCTTCCTGATGTATCTATGCCTTTGGCTTTGTGAAATTTTGTTTGAGAGTCTCTTTTATAAATAGTATGGTAGAATTTCTGTCTTCTAATGTGTTAAAAGTTATATCTGTTAACAAATTACATATATATTATAATTACTAAATTTAATTGGACCTATTTCTTCCATTATTTTTTTCTATTTACCATGCTTTTCTCCTTTCTGGATTACTATTAGATTGAATAACTTCTTAATTCTTATTTTACAATCAATCAATATGAAAGCTAGATATTCTGCTTCTATTGTACTTGTGACTACCTTAAATTTTTAACATTGAATCAGAGTTAATCAACATTTCTACCCTCCTCCAGAAAAAAGCAAGGATCTTAAAATGCTTTGACTCCAATGAGCACCTACCACATTCACTGGTTGTTATCAAGTGTTTTAATTCCATCTTGCTTTGAAGCCCCACCTGCCAAAGACATCATTATTGTTGTTAGTCAATGTTTATTTAAATGAAGCCTCTTATTTACCACTTTCTTTTCTCACTTCATTATTAAAACCCCCTCTGATCCTCTGGGTTCTAGCTCCTTCTTTCAGAAATTCATCTTTAGCAAGTTTTTACTGGGCATTTATAAAAGCAAACTTAAAAAGCCTTTATTATACCCTCTCTTTTAGAAAATATATCCTTTTTTTGGGAGGTCCATGTACATACAGGGAGGTATGTGATGTGCATGCATGCAAAGGGTTTAGCTCAATGAATTTTTGCGTGTACATCCAAGCAAATATCAGTCAGCTCAAGAGTTATAATATTTCCATCACACCAGAGGGTTCTCTCATGCCCCTTCTCAGTCAGTACTCACCCCTCCCTTTTTGGACACTTACCACTACTGATTTAGCCTATTTCTTGAATTTCATATAAATGGGATCATATAGTAGGTACTCTTTTGTGCCTGGCTTCTTTCACTCTACATAATGTTTGTGAGATTACTGTTTTTCTCAGTAGTTTTTCCTATCACTGTGTATTCTATGCATTATCATACTGAAATAATGGTTTACAGGTTATGGAATTCCAGGTTGATAATTTTTTTCACTTTTTGAAGATGCTATTTCAAGTCTTTTAGTCTTTATTGTTGCCAAAATGAAGTATGCTGCCAGTTGAATTGTTTTTCCTTTGCTGGCAATTTGACCTTTTTCTTGGTTTCTTTCTCCTTTCTGCTTATGTTTAAAATCTTCCTTTCATCTTTGGTGTTAAAAAATTTCCATAAATAACATCAAGGTGAGGATTTGTTTTTGGTAATGCTGAGAGAAAGGACAGAAGTCAATGTGTTCATCATTTTTTTTGTAATAAAAATATTTTTTTTATTGGCAAATAAAATACACATGTTTAATGTGTACAACTTATATAGAGATATACATATGAATTATATATATACTTATTACACAAAGATTGTGAAATAATGACCACAATAAGATAATTAATACATCCTTTACCACAGCTGGTACTT